ATAGTAATCCATTGAGATTACTGAAAGACTTAGCTTTCATTACCAGCTTGTCATAATGATTGATAAGTAATAACATTATAGGATAATACTCTTTAGGCGCTATGCCCGCTAGTAGGGTTGCTAGAAAGCTATCAACCCTTTAAGAAAGTGTCCAGTTGAGTTATCTCACTATTCTATGTGTTACAATATATATATATATATATATATATATATATATATATATATATATATATATACACATGTATCTTAGGATATTGGAGTCATAATCTTGGACCGTGAGATTGATTCATATCAAAGTCTCAGATTCATATGATATCTTATGGAACAATGGAATAATTGATCACTTATATATGAGTTGTGTCTAAGAAGATGATTCAGAGTTCGGCAGTTGCTAAGGATGCACTCTTTGCTAATTAGGTAGGAGCCTAGTTGCCAATAATAATTGATGAATTGGCCAAGTGGGAGACGGTTGAAATAGTGTTCAATGATGTAACTAATCGGCAAAACTTTTCATTAAGAGCAAGTTCATTTTTTGGTTGCCCTCAATGATCTAAATAGAATTTTAATGTTATGAGAGAGAGACATGGAAAGGGAGAGAAAGAGAGAGAAATATTAATCCTTTATGTGATGATATATTATTTAGAATCTAATTAGAATCTAATTTAGAATTAATATTGTAGCCACTAGATGTTAATTATTTAATAGTTCAATAATGGAAGGTTATGGATCCTATGTGATGGGGCCAAAATCAACAAGGGATAAGCTTTGGAATTTTCGTCAAATGCTATATTTGGAAGGATATTTATAAATTAAATTATTAAATTATTATCTTCATCTAGTAACAAATCCAAATCAACTTTCTTTCTAAGCAGCCAGAACTATAAATACCCCTCCCTAACACCTCATACTTTCATCCTAGTCTTCTTTAAGAGTTTCTATTCTCTTGGTTAATTCCTTATTGGATCACTATTGTTATAAAATATATTTTGATTATCAAACTATAACTTTATCTGAGCATGTTATTTTTTTCTTTTTTGTCAAATTCTATTATACTTATGTAAGAAAAATTGTTTGAAAATCTTAAAAATAGAAAAAGAAAGAATAATATATTCATTGGACTAAATTGATTAAATGAATTTTAACAAACTTCAATGATGTTTAAAATGATTTTTAATAATGAAATGATTAGCAACGATAAAATAAGGTGTGTCTATTTATATTGAAGCCAAAAAGGCAAATGTGATTTGGAATATACCAAATTGTACAAGTAATAACTATATATATATATATATATATATATATATATATATATATATATATATATATATATATATATATATATATATATATATATATATATATATATAGATAGATAGATAGATAGATATAGACGGTAAAAAAGAAACAAAATGTATTTGTAATAAACTACTAAAAGAATAAAAAATAATCACGTGACTTAATACATTAAGTTATCATTAATTATTATACAACGTGAAGAAATAAAATGAATGTCTTCGAAAACATAAAGTAAACCACTACAATAGAAAACAACATCATAATATAATTGTTTAAAATACAACGCTATAATTGGAAAAAAAATGTTATAAATAATAAAAATATAAAAATGTACAATACTAACATGCTATAAAAGTACAATGTTACTAATAAAGTAGGATGATAATTTTTATAAAAAAACAATGTGGATTGTAAGAAGAAAAACAGTACTAATTCAGTAGACTAAACTCTAAACCCGAAATTATGTGTCAGCAACATCATATCTTTTGATAAAAGCTAGACTAGTAATCTACATCGAAACTATCCCGAGTTCCAAGTAGGACTCAAAGCTTTTATCTAGAACTCCAAGTAACACCTTGATGGTAATAGTAAAGTCATATGTGTGTGTTAAAAATGTGATAACCGTTACTTCAATTACCCGACATCAGTGGAAGGTCATATATTTATAAATCGTTTTAGTATGTCATACACAAACTGGATCTATCATGTTAAATCTTTAATTCCGAGATTCGTCTTGCCAAGTAACGAAATGCTCGATTTAATCGATGATATGATGTGGGAGTTGAGAGAAAAGGATATCAACCTAGATGAATGAACCTCGAATACAAGGGATAACGGTGTGGATGATGATTTTATGCAGTTATTAGAAGAAGTGGAAACTAAATTGTATCATGGTTGCACCTTTTCTTCCCTTGAGCTTCTAACAAAGTTAATGCATATCAAGGTTAACAACAAATGGACTGATAGTTAATTTGATCAACTCCATGATTTGTTGCAATCAACATTTCCCATATTCAACAAGGTTCTATTTTCACATTATCTAGCTAAAAAGAAAGTGAAGTCTATTAGTCTGGGGTATGATTCGATATATGTATGCAAAAACGATTGTTTTCTCTTTTGGAAAGAACACGAGTCATTGCAATACATGTGTGCAAAAATGATTGTTTTCTCTTTTGGAAAGAACACGAGTCTTCACAGGTTTGTCCTGTTTGTAAAGAGAGCCGATAGATCGATAAAAACATCAAAGGTAAGAAACTAGCTCATAACGTGTTACGGTACTTTCCCGTGACACCTAGAATACAACGTTTATATTATTCGGGGCACACTGCCAAAAATATGATTCCGCATACTATGAAATGATTAAAAGATAGTATGACGTGTCATCCTGTTCATGGGGAACATTGGCAAGATTTTGATAAAATAATAACCCGACTTCTTGAGTAAACCCCGTAACGTACACCTAGGTCTTTCAGTTGATGGTTTTAATCAATTTGGAAACATGTGTAATCCACATAGCACATGACCGATCATACTCACCACATATAATCTGCCACCCTGGCTTTGTATAAAAGAGTCATCACTCATGTTGACTTTGTTGATTCCCGACCCTTAAGCACCTGGTAAGGATATGGATGTTTTCCTTAGGCCTTTTGTGAAAGAGCTTAAACGTTTGTGGAACTTAGGCATACATATTAAAGATGTGGCAACAAAAACATTCTTCACAATGAGAGCTAAGTTGTTGTAGACAATAAACGACTGGCCAACTTGTAGTAGTGTCTAAGGTTGGAGTGGGCAAGGGTATAGAGCATGTGCTAATTGAAATGAAGACAATCCTTCGTACCATGCAACAAATAAAGTCGTATATATTGGTTATTGTCGTTTCCTAGATGCTAATGATCTGTTAAGAAAGATGTTGGATTCTAACGGGATGGAAGAGACAAGACCTGCTCCGAGACACTTTAGTAATGACGATATACAAGAGCAACTAGGTCGTATACTAACTCGTAAATCGGGTAAACATCCTGAACATGGAGGTAGGGAGCCAAAGCAGCAAGATGACGAGTTGAACTCGTCGAAACGAATCATTTTCTTTGAACTCGTGTATTGGTCTTTTCTATAGGTGAAACACAACATAGATTTCATGCAATAAAGGATATATTAAAATAACATTTAGGGATAAATAATTTATATAAAAATATTTTATACGTTTCATTATGACTATGTTTTACTTAGTTAAAATGTTTTTTTTGTAGATAAAGTTTGATTTGGATTGGATGTACCGAGATCCAGACGATGTTATGTTGTCAGAGAGTTTTGAAAAACACTACAAGAAAAATAGCCTTTTACGACGCGCAAACCACGACACTCATTGATTTATGTTACGCAATGGAGAGTGACGTTAAAAAAGCATCATCTCTTCAAAAAATTTAAGGATTTAGGTCACGCATTATTGCGTGCCCTTAAATTAGCGTCATACGAGAAAAAAATTAAAAACACGGAGGGCACTGTATCTTAAATGAGCGTCCTCTATGAGTGTCACTTTATAATTTTAATGAAAAGCGCGTTTAGTAGATAGGGGGGAAAATGAAATCCCTAAAATTTTGAACACCCGCCTTCTTTTTTATCCTCCACTTTTGTTTCCTTCTTGCCCTAATTACGATCCTTTCTTCCCCCTCCATAGATTCGACTACTGCCTTGCCTAGTTATCGACACTCCTTCCTTCGTTCGTCCCTTGCCTTCTTCGCCTGACAATATCTCAAGAAGTACAACTCCGAAAGCGTACAAGCTGCTATCGGTTTCGCCATAGAGTTCTGCCGTTCCAAAATCGCATATTTTCGCGTTGAGTGACTATGATTGGGTTACAATTATGCTTGAGCCGACGATTGGGTTACAATTATGCTTGAAAGTGTAAAGAACTTACATGCTCCATCTACTTAAATCCTAGAGCCGACAATTTAGGACCTTACCGCTTCTCATCCCACACAGCGCCGGTGATTTAGGGCCTTACAAGCCCTAGCTCGGATTGAACTAAGAATTTAGCGAGAGAAATCAAGATTTTTGGTCATCATCATCACGTTTGCATTAGCATCCATAGGCTACAGATCTCAAATTCCTCTTCGGATCCTCGTAATTGACCTTTCCCAAGATCTTGATTTGATCAAACATACATATAATTGCAGTCACCGGTCTACAACCTGGTTATATAGTTCATTTTTGCACTAAACATCTCAGGATCTGATCGAGCTCTCTCGCGGTTTCGTTCCCCTTCAAGAAATCTCTTCCCTCTCCCTTTCTCGTAAACCCACCAATTTCTCGCTGAAAGCGCGCGGCCTTTGAATCAGGCATCTATTTTGAAATTTTTGTTCGAGGAAGAAAGGGCTTGCCTTCTTACCCAGGTCTATTTTCCTTCATCTTTTATTTCAACGATTGCTCTATTTCATCTTTCTTGGTTAGATCATGTCGATTATGCATATGGGTGGGTTATTACACTTTACCGCTCCTTTGAAATCAGTTAGGGTTACATACGAAAAGAAAGAAAACCCTAATCTGAAAGAGCTTTTAGGGTTCTTACAGACCTTCTTCAAGTACCTTCAACATGGTTACGTAGCTGTAGATTACTCACTTTTTTCTTCTCTTATCTTTCCTCTTTGCTTTTACAGGTAATACGACATGATAGTCTGGTACAACTCTTGCTTCTTGGCAGGATGTTACAGGGGACCACCAAACTTCCATGGAAATTTTCACACCATCCAGCTGCTGCTGGTACGTTTTTCACAGTCATGCTACTTGGACTTAAATTCTGCACATGCCAGTATGAAGGGAGCCTACAAAATGTTAGATTGGGAATTCAGCTGCTGGAAGATGGGATTTATCGGTATTACATTCAACTCGTCTTTCTTCATAATATAACATTTTTTATTTTAATTTAAATTCTGAAGTGGAAAACTGAAACCAACTGCAGGGCTGCATTAGGCTGGTTTGCTTACGAACCTGAATGGTTTGAACATGATCATGGAAATTTTGCACACATCGAGGCTCAATCTGTTAATTCATTTGTTCACTATCTCCAAAACGATCCAAAAGCACTGGGTGGGGAATATGGGGGATCTTTTCTTGACATGGTAAGACACCGATATTGCTATTTATCATGTTGTGTTTTATGATTTTTTATTAACAATGAACAATCTCAGAAGGATCACTATCACCCTGTTTAGGGACCAATGGAGAACTATGCAGCTTGTAGAGATAAGAGGAAGCAGCTACTTTTAATGTTATGCCAGCATGAAGCTGACAGGCTTGAAGTTTGGGCGCAACCTGTTAACTACAAGTAATTTCATCAACTGCAATTTTGCAACATGTGATCTCTTTCATCTTTTATTAGTTATCAAGTCCATTACATGTTCATAATAAAATACTATATTCTCATGATTTGTATTTCAGGGCCCAAAAGGTGTGTGTCTGTTTTCAAAAGGGCCCACATATTGTTTTACATTTATATTTACTATTTTATCCTCTTCTTTTGGCAGACCTCATGACCGAGTCCCTTTGAAAGACATGAAAGCAGATTGGAAAACCATGACATATCAAGAACTACCATTGGCCAAGGCTCGTCTACATGAGCTAGAATGAGTAGCATCAAGTCGACAAAACGAGGTTATCATTATATAATAATTCATATAGATCCTTTCTCATCTGTTTTTTGGTGAATAATGGGATTCTAAGTTAGTTGTGTGTGTGATGTGGATGATGCAGAATTTGATAATGCAGCATGTAGAGCATTTAGCAGGGGATTTGATTCATCTGTTTCAAGGGATATTAAGATATGCTCCATTAGAGAGGGTAACAACATGTGCAGCATTAACACATCCTTTCTACACCAGGGACAATCTGAGTAGACGATACTAGCTGCTGCTAACAATATCAAAACAAAGTATGTGGCGGTCAATCTAAATCTGCACACAGAAGGAAGGAAGGATGTTTTTGCTGTAGATGTTTTTATTTCCCGAGGGTATGTTTTGAGTTCCTACTGCACTGCTGTGTGGAAACCCCACCCACACATCTTATTGACCACCTTGAAGTCAAATTTATGTACAAAGTACAAACAAACAAACAAATGTAGAAAAAGAAAAGAGAGATGATTACAAGGTATGTGAAAGAGGAATGGGCATGGTTATGTTCTTTATCCAAGGTATTTTGGTCTTCTCTTTCTCTTTCTCTCTCTCTCTCTCACACACACACACACACAAACACATACATACACAGCATGAAGGATCTTTAAGTTTTTAAACATTGAGAATAAAGTGTTTATTGTATTTCAGTTTATGGAGAGACAGCTGGTTGACTGTGAATGATCTTATTTTACAGACACACAAGGTATTAGTGACATACAATTTCATTGGTATTTCACTTTTTTTTAATTTAATTTAATTTAATTTAATTTTGTTCTCATTTTCTGTGCATACGTGCTTCATTTTGAGCAGTTTCTGTGTAGTTGAATGCTGGATTTTGATCTCTGGTTTCCCTAATAATGCTTTGGATTGAATGAAAGAAGTAGCAATGTATCATCACTGATCATGACACAACACCGAGAGGTCATCTTTAACAAAATTATCTTTATTATATGTGAATTACATGACAAAAATTTCAAATAACTTATAAAGATTTCTTTTTTCAGAAAATCAGCTTATAAAGACTGATCAAGTGAACATACTGATTAGATCACTTCTCCTTAAGCAACAACAAAGTCTGGAACAACTTCAAAGAATGCAAAGGGTGCAGGCACAAATGAGGGTTCAAGAAAGAGGTATTTAACTTTTTTTTGTTACACATACTTGTTTTTTATGCTCGCATTCATGGGATTAGTATTTATATATTTTTGGGAATGAAACATTACCATTTTCTCCCTAGGGACCCATAAAGAGCTACAGATGGTAGGGTTTCTGCTAAGAGGGCTTCTGATGAGATCACTTCTTAATTTACCTGTTTATATTTGAAACTGAAATGAACCTGTTGATCATAAGAAGTTACTTGAAGATATGAAGTCAGAAGCAATGAAGAATTTTGTTGTAGAAGGTCAACAAGTGTTGTTGACCATGGAAGGTAAGGATTTGACTCTAGAACAACAGAAAGAGCTTAACGAAATCAGGAAAAAGAAAAGTATATTAATTCGTGAACATAGAATCAAGAAAAGCACAGCTGAAAGCAGACCAATTGTTCCAAGAAAATTTGATAAGACAAGAGATTTACATCTGAGAGAAATGGTCATCATTAGGGCTTGATCCATCAAAAGCAGTGTAAAGGGTGAGAAGTGAGTCAAGGGGTAGAAAGAGGGAGTGGTCATCTAATTTGTTTGTAAATTTTTGTTAAAACTTCTATTGATTTGTTTTATCTTTCCATGGAACGATTATTTGTATGACATTAAATTTATGCAATGGATTCTATTTTTTCTCTATGATATTTTATTTTCTATAATGAAACATTAAATACAAATTTAATTTGAAAATAAGTAAATCTATAAATAATATTTTTTCTAAACATTTAAAATTATGATACGCAAAAATGTGTATCGTCTTCATTTATGACATGGCCTTTCTTGATGGGGGCTTTCTTGATACGCATTGCGTGTCATTAACACGCGCGTCGTAAGGTTATGACATGCGAATGCGTATCGTCTTCCTTTATGACAGGGCCTTCCTTGATACGCATTGCGTGTCGTAAATGCGTGTCGTAAATGCGCGTCGTAAATGAGCGCCGTAAATGCGTGTCGTCTCTCTTTATGACAGGGCCTTCCTTGACGCGCATTTGCGCGTCGTCTGTGCCTTTTACGACACGCAATGAGCGTCGTAAAAGGCTGTTTTTCTAGTAGTGAAAGCTTTGTTAAAAGGTTATATAGAGCGTAAAGCTGATGCAAAAGAATATATTTTGGATGTCAAAGGGTATGAGGATATCTTGAAAGCATTAGCCACCCCTAGATGATAAGGATGTTGATAACTGGAAGAAAGCAGTTGAGTATTTCCAAATGGATGAACACAAAGTTGCTTCAGAAAGGAATAAAAAAGTTCGTCAAATGCAAACAACCGTGAATCGTGGGGGGTCGTGCTCGTATAGCAATATTTGCTACTAGAAGGTATGGTACGATACATGTAATTATATATTTGAAATATAATCTAATTTTGATGTTAAACTGAACCTTAGGAGAATGGAAACGTTTCACAAGGCTCATACCGATAGAGATGGTATATTTGTTGGTGCTAAGGTAGAACAACAATACATAAGTATTTAGTTATAATTTTATCATATAATTAAGTGTACGTTTATACTTAATTGTTAATCGCTTTTGGAAAATACATAATCGGTTAGTGGAAGAGCGCTTATAACAAACGCAAGGGCCAGAGAGTGAAAGAGAGTTAACACTTGCTCAAGAAAGAGTTGTTTTAGAGAAAGAATTTGGAGAATGATGTAGCTATATCAGAGGAATCAGCCAAAAATCTTCTCTTATCCTGTGGATTTCACAACCATCACAGGTAAAATAGGATTATTTAATTTCAATAAATGCATATTGATTTGGTAATTTTTGTTTGTGGTGATTATTTTCTAGAAGCTTTGGTAATTGGTTTTCTATCCCAAGTGTAACAAATACAAAATTTACTTTGGTGTTTGTCATAGTTTAAAAATAGCGATGTATTTTAACATCACTAAATGCATGTTGATTTGATAATTGTATTTTTTCCATGTGCAAGATATAACAATGTATTTTTTGTAATTTAAATGCAAGAAATAGAAATGTGCTTCGGTATTTCTTGTATTTAAGGTTCTTTAGCACAAATAAAGTAAAACTATTTAATTTCAAGTGTTTATATTTTAAGTGCAATAATAGAAATGTACTTTGGTTTTTATTCTCTAGTTTAAAAATAGCACTGTATTTTGAAATCATAAAATGCATGTTGACTTGGTAATTTTGGTTTGTGGTGATTATTTGCAAAAAGCTTTGGTAATTGAGTTTTTGTACAAAGTGCAAGAAATAGCAATGTACTTTGGTTTTTTGCCTTGGTTTAAAAATAACAATGTACTTCGGCATCGATAAATGCATGTTGATTTGGTAATTATGTTTTTTTGTCAAAAGTGCAAGAAATAGCAATGCACTGTTGAAATATCTTGTATTTAAGTGCAATAATAGTAACATACTTTGGTAGTTTTTGTTTGTGTTTAATAATTGAACTTATAAGTTTATATATGTTGTTATTTATTATGTAGTTGGAAAATCTCCGGGCAATGTTCAACGACCCAACATGTAGGGTGGAGCTTTATGCTTTTTTTTTTCAATTGGGGAATTATCAAGGAGGAAACGATGAGAACATAGATGATGGTTTAGCGGATAATTAACTTGTGTTTTGTATATTACACTTGTAAAATTTTGGTTGTTTATTTTGTATGACATTAAGATACGTGTTAGAATTGTAAAATTTTGGTTGTTTATTTTGCTATGAAATTAATTATAACAGTATTTGGTATATAATCGAATGTTATTATGTAATTTTTTTATGCATTTAATGTGGTTATGTATCGGTGTTTTATACCCAAAATCGTTGATTAAAAAAAATGAAAATATTATTACCGGCGATAGGTTACCAGCGACATAAGCATTAGCGGCGACAAGATGTATTACTGGCGACATAAGCATTAGCGGCGACAAGATGTATTATTGGCGACATAAGCGACCACTTTTTACCATCGACGTGTCGCCATTATTACCTTTACCGGTGACTTTTTTAATCTTTACCGACGACTTTTATCGCTGCTTATTGCCTTTTTCTTGTAGTGCTTGATATGTTGACTTGGTTGTGGCTCGCAAAAAGATGATTGAGAAGATCAGGAATCGACTCACTCCATCAAATTGTTGTGGGTACAATAGAACTTCTAACACAAAACAACCGCATAATAATAGCAAAATTAGGAACAACCGCGATCTAGCCAGCCAGCAAGGGGCAATCTTCAACTTCCTTTCGGATTAAAAACTGAGTTCGAAAAGGAGAAACTATCAAATGGTTTGATTGGTCTAAAAATTATATAGTTGGGTATGCTTGTATCATGCGTAATCCTATCTCCTCGCTAGAATTTTCATCAATAAATTCTTCTTGTTGTCAAAAGAAAAAGAAATAAAAGAAAAAGGTCACCGACTTACAAAGATAACTAAAAGACAACACCATTAATCTTGAAAAGTTTATCGGATACATATACGAAAAAAATTTGGAAGTTCTTCATGTCGTATAATCTAATAATCCATGCTAGTTGTCTGCTTCTAATTCCATTGCATCCTCAATCCTCTCAACGACTTCGTTCATTGTAAAGCGCAAATCCCTGCTACTAGGTACATGACTTGGCCCCCTCCTCATCATCCGGCCTCGCGACTGTTTCTCCTTCATTATGTGCCTGTGAGACCTCTTCTTTATGCACCGATATGCAACATCTATTAATATATTCAAACAAGGGCTATCGATTTGATCTCTTATATAGTCATCAATGAATACATTAAGCTTATTATTGCGGTAGTATTCTTGAAGTTGATCAAATTGCTCATCTTCTCGAATATATATCTTTAGATCATTGGCTCTACGTCCACTCAATATTTCAAATATTATCACACCAAACGAGTACATATCTGATATATGCTCGCGGGGTTCGTGGTATGTTGGACCTTGTCTTGACAAACCGAAAAAAGAAATTTTGGGTTCCATACTTTCATCTAATAATATGTTTTCACAGATAACGCTCCCCTCTATTTCTCTAATTCCCTCCCCAAGAGCCAAATGAAGGCACTGGAGTCCTCTTGCTACGCCTTGGATAATCTTCAAGCGTTGTGCCCATGTTAGGTTAGGCAACTTATTCGTCCCTCGGTGTCCGATATGATCAGCAACGTTTCCATTGACTGCATATTCATGAACTATAATTGTCTCATTGGCTTCTTCACAGTAACCAATGAAACGGCAGATGTTTTGATGGTGAAAACGGGACAACATCCGGAGTTCTTTATTAACATCTTGGCCCCAGCTTCGATAGCCTTCCCGATTCAAGCGGGTGATGGCCATGGTGCGGTTTTGCCATCGTTCATAGAGTTGTCCTCTATGGACAACACCATATTCATATTCTCCGATACATGTTTCGTGATTGAAGTTTTGGGTTGCCAAATTTATTTCCTCTAGTGGAATTTGAAAACTGTCTAGGCTTCGTGTGGTAGGTGATTCGTCATGGTTCTGTGAATGAAAACATTACCAGGGTTTAGAGTTTGATTAAATCATACTTGTTCGTTTGTAAGCAAATGCTAAATACCAGAAAATATTTGAGGTGTCTTTTTTTATATTTAAAAAGTATTATAGGAAATAGAAAAAATTGGCATGAATAAGAATGAGATTGCTGTTTTGTATGCGATATTTTAAAACATCATCATAATAATAATGCTATATACATATAATAATTATTCTAATTGACTTTAATATAAATAAAGTAAAACAATAAATACTATAATAATGACCAAATTAAAAAATTAATAAAATGACAACTTCTTAGACTTAGATTAACTTAATAAAAATAAAATTGACAGAGTTAGATTGAAATAAATAATAAGTGTTCTCATCTAATTGCTAGTAAGCAAGTTGTAGCGGGTAGTTTGTAACGGTAAAATTAGTAAAATTAGTTAATATTTTAAAACATCATAATAATAATGCTATATACATATAATGATTATTCTAATTGACTTTAACATAAATAAAATCAAATAATAAATAATACAATAATGACTGAACAAGGCTTTCTATTCAAAATAAAATGTTTTATCAAACTCTAGAAACTAAAAATACTCAATCGTTTGGTGCCAAACACGTACAAAATATTGGTGTTAGACATTAATTTGTGGTCCATGAGCACGGTATGCACATAACGGAAATTTTATGTAATAGTTTATCATATAATATATCAGAAGGATTTTCTTAAAAATGATTAAATGAAAAGTCTTACCAATTGAATTTCCAATGCTTGCTCTATCTTCCTGATGATCTTCTCCATCGTTGGGCGTTGCTCTAACTTCAGGTTTACACATTTATGTGCAATTTTGTTAAATGTATTAAAAGAGTTCATATCAGTATGATCTTTAATAAAAGGATCAATTAACTTGTCTGGTCTGGCAGCTTTTTTGTCATCGTCATAGCAGCTCCTGACCACATCAAAGAGATATTGTGGATTTTCATCATCTCCAAAGCACTTTTGATTATAAACAAGTGTCCCACTTGACATTTCAAACATAACCACTCCAAACGAGTACATGTCTGACTCTTTCGTGAGCCTGCTTCTTTCAGCGTAAAGGGGATCCATGTAAAACCTTGTTCCCGCAATCTTTGTTATGAGTTGGGTATCTTCAAGGTTTCTTGCACCAAATCTTGACAAACCAAAATCACAGATTTTGGCTTCCAGATTGTCATCTAAGAGTATATTTGCACTCTTCATGTCTCTGTGAATCACTCGATTGTGCTCCCCAAGACCTGAGTGAAGGTACTTGAGCCCTTTTGCTGCACCTAAGCAAATCTTCAAGCGTTGTGCCCATGTTAAGCGACGCATCTTTTCTGGCTTTTGGAGATGATGATCAAGGCTTCCATTCTTTGCATAGTCGTAAACTATGATCATCTCATTGGCCTCGTCACAGTAGCCAATGAAAGTGATGATGTTTGGATGATGGAAACTGGAAACCATTTCGAGTTCATTACGAAACTCGTTGTTTCCTTGATAACCATCTTTATTGAGACGTTTGATGGCTACTGTACGTGTTTTCCCGTCTTTAGAGAGTTCTCCCATGTAGACCATACCGAATCCACCATCTCCGATTCGTGTGTTTGGACTGAAATTACTTGTGACACGTAGGATCTCATCCAGTGGAATTCTGTACTTTTCTAGGTTTTCTTCTGAAGAAGACATTGTTTTTTGATATTGGTGATTTTTTTTGAACGAAAAAGAAACTAAAGTGGTGATTATGTATGAAAGATAGAGCTTTGTGGTTCCTGTTTATATAGATGTTTATCTAGACAAAACCCAATTTGCTTAAAAACTTGTACCTATATCGCCCTTCGCTTGAAGATTAGTATATATATAACTATTGACTAAGACAAATTCTTCGAAAAATTATATAGTATACTGCACATGATGGCGGATGAAGTTTCTTGAGTTTCTTCTTTATTTTATCTCAACAATACATATATAAACATCCCTATTAATTAATAGGATTTGGTTTTTTATTTAACAGTGAAGACGAAATTATGGCTCTTTAATTGATCATGAAGGCATAGTTGACAGACTTTAATCATAAAAAATGCAATAAAAATATAATTAACCAAACATAAAAATCGGAGGTTGCGAGCAACCTAATATTTTATATAAATCTGGAAGACTTGAATATAATTGCTTATAGTCATGAACCTTATGCAATCAAAGCTTAGCGTATGTAACCCACGATGTTTGAAATTAATACTTAATTATCTATATTAATCAATGACGTTTGAAATTAATATTAAATTATATATATACTACTGGTGTGCTGAATATAAAAATGAAACATACAAAATTAACTTATTTTTTTTATTGACACTCCAATAAATAATATCTGTCATTAATGATCTTGCTATTCAATTGGGTCAAGTTGTAACCGACACATACTCGTGTTTTTTTATTGTGTCATCAACATGACAATATGTTGTGCCATGAGCAAAAATACAAGGCATCCCACCAAACTCCATTTGCAACTTATGACATAAATACGGTCTTCAACCTAGAAAAAATCCCTAGTTAATCTATACTAATAAATAAAATCTATTTTCTGCCACATGTCATGTCCTTATTGATTTGGACACATGGTATTTTAATAGATTTTTTAAAATTTACTTATTTCCACATATAATTTTCTGATTTGTTCACATATCACAACTTATTTCGGTTACAATATTGAGAGAAATAAATGATTTCTTGAAAAAAATTTGATATATTTATAATGTAATAAATATCATAATTAATGAGAGCTCTAAAATTGATATTGATATTAAATTTTGATTTTAAATTTAAATTTTAAATATTGATATTAAAATTTTATTTTTAATAAACCCGTGTAGTACACGGGTCTCATACCTAGTTTTCAGATATATGATAGAAAAACTATTGACCAAAATCTGAACAACTGAAGGTTTTTGTTTTTTCCTGTTTGGCCTATCGAATAATTCTATCACACCTCCGTCAAAAACCTTAAAATCATTACAATCATCGTGTTTTTTTTTTCCAGAAAATGCATAGTGGTAGAGGAAGAATAGTGTGAGGCAAGAGAGATTGGAAAGATGGAGAAACAAACTTAGAGGGGGGTTGGCTGTGGGGGAAGGGTATGCCCATCTAAATTAATATAAGATACAAGATAAACCAATAAAAAAAAGTGCAACATCTTTTTAAATCTGCTAGAGCAAGGACAGAACACGAACATTATAATTTGGGGGCGGAAACTAATATTTCAAAACAAAATCATAAAAACTTGTTTAATTTTGGTAAAAAGTTATTATAAATCAAAAAAATTAAACAAGACAACTAATAAGGCATGACTAAGTACGTAAAAGTGTAACTCATTTTTAGTTTTAATTTGTAAGCATGTAATTAGCGAGGCTCATCTGCAAAGGATATATCTGTCATAGGAATAGAAATCATATATAGAAAATTATGTGGCTAAATATTTCATGAAATATTATTTATATATAGAGACATTTGTTAGTATTACGAAATTAATTCAGTTTTTTATTAGATTAAGCTATATTCTAATAATACTTTATAAAGTATTAAAAATAAAATTAGAATTTAGATATTTAAAAATTTAAGTATTTAAATATTCAAATCAAATAATACAAAAAGACTTAAATGACCCAGTTAGATGAATTAAAAGACCCGGTTTTCCACCGGGTCTTAAGAGCAGCGAGTCTTATGTGGAAAACAGAATAGGACGCGGTTTTACAACCGGGCCATATTTGAGTAATACAACCCGGTTTCCATGAACAAAACTAGTTTTTTTCCAACATTTGAGTATTACTTTTGTACCAATATATACCCCGGTTATCATGCATAGAACCGGGTTTTATTATGCAAGTTAGATTTTAATTTTGTTTGATCATATGATCCAGCTATGGCTATGCAACCGCGACTTTTTATTTCATTTTAATACTTTTTACAAACCTGTAGCGTTAATTTTGTTTAATATTTTTTTTACAAAACTATAGCCTCCTTACCAACATGCTTATAGTTATAGTTTTCATATTTCTATATTTGCGTTTGATATACCCAAATAAAGAATTCCTTTTATTTATTTTCAATGCATTCCTACATAATTAAATCTAAAAACTCTAGTATCCAACATTTAACAAGACATTAACATATGATTTGGAGTCCAACTTCTTTGCCACGCCCCACTTCCCACAAGGATCAATGTGTTGACATTGCTCACTTAAAAACCCCGGTATATGCAACCTAATCAAACTTGATGTGCATACAAAACTACATCTGCTTCTTATTGAAGAAGATACATAAGATTATCAGCACCTATATGAGAGAAATCAAAGCATATTTAAGGAAACTGTAAATGCAAAAAAGGCTTTAAAAAATAAACAAAAATACATACATTAGTCTTCAAACATGGTCATCTTGAATGCAGGTATTTCACTCCCCAAGTCTTTATTAGATTCAACAACTATTAAATTCAAAGATAATATCAGTAATAAAAAAGTGAAGGACAATTTAGATTCTTACAATTTATTAGCACTCAAAATCAATGCTAGCATCCTCGGTCATATGCCTTTTAATTAATTTTCAAAATTCCATGCAACCTTTAATGAAATAAAATGGTAAGCATGTGGTGCAGAAGAATCCATTTATGCAACTACTAATGGAGCAGAAAAAGAAACAAGATGGTATATCAATCAAAATTGAAAAAAATGGACTATTACCTTGAAAAAGTAAACCAATGTTAGACACTAGTGTCTCGAAAATGGAAGTTGTATCTATAATGATCCGCTAAACCAACAAATAAATGAAAAAATAACTAAACCAATACTAGACATAAAATTAAAATAGGATGTTTTATTGAAAAACTAAACTTATAAATAAATTTAAAACCAACAAATATGGCACACCCCAAAACCAAGAATGACGGAAACGTTCTGGGGCGGAGGACGTCATGTACAGTATCACAACAATGAAAAGTAGTAAACAAGCAACAACATCATCCATTCATTAATAATATAATTTTAATACAAATGTTCTGACAAATCATGATAGACAGTAAAGTATAATCAAAATGAAAGATGAGTCTTGAACGAGCTCCATCTTCTCTAAACCTTGCATCGGTACTTGTGTATTGATGACCGGAGTATACAAGTAATTTTGAAAGAGAGTATCAGCTTTAAAACTGGTGAGATCATAAGTATTTTAGTGTCTTAATTTGTATGTAAGTATTTGTATGTATATGAACTGTAGTATTGAAAATGTGTATGAATTGTAAGTATGAAAATGTTTGTAAAACAACTGTAAATGTTTGAAAATCCCTAGAAATCCCTATGATTCCTATTATTATAAAAGAGAGTCTTCTACCAAGACCAAACTTCTCTGAATGTAGCCTTCTACCAAGACCTAATTGCTCTGAATGTAGTCTTCTACCAAGACCCGACTGTTCTAAATGCAGTCTTCTACCAAGACCTGACTGTTCTAAATGTAGCCTTCTACCAAGACCTAACTGCTCTGAATGTAGTCTTTTACCAAGACCCGACTGTTCTAAATGTAGTCTTCTACCAAGACCCGACTGTTCTAAATGTAGCCTTCTACCATGGCATTTAGTGTCTGTGTGTCTCTTGTAAGAGTATGTATTTTCCCAAGTCTAACTATCATTAACCAACATATAGTTTCTACATTACCGTGCGTCGTGTGAATGTTCACGAAGTGAATGTAAAGGGGAAAATGAAATAGTACTATGGTGTAGTGTCGAACTACAACCGTACCAATTAACTCAAGTCTAGGGTAATCTTGTGAGTACTGTAGTATTTGTAATAAATAACTACATCGGTACTCTTATTGCCTTATTTGAGGGATAAGGTATAATGTGATGGCTAGATCCCAGGCTATACGCTCCCCTGTCAATGGGATTTTGGGACCTACACATGACCCCTGCATGTATGCAAGCCGTGAACATCGACATTACTATGATCATGTATAACCGATATAACTATCACAATTGCATTGTGATTCATCGGTATAGTTAGATCCTGAACTTGTTCCATGCTATAGCATCTAGTGACGTCTGTCCTATGTATATGTAAGCATACTCATGTAAGTGTGATCATGTAATTGTACTCATGTAAGTGTGATCATGTATTTGTACTCATGTAAGTGTGATCATGTAATTGTGCTCATGTAAGTGTGATCATGTAATTGCACTGTAATGTTCTATGTGTGCTAGCTGAAATGTGTGTTCTCTCTCTGTCTAGCAGGTATAGTAATGTACTATGTGTACTAGCTGTAATGTGTGTTGTCTCTCTATCTAGCAAGTATTGACTTAGGAATGAACTGACTCGTTGTATGATATTGTGTTGTAGTAATAGTTCTAGTATCTTCCTAAACTACCCATATGGTAGCTTACTAGTAATGTAACTGGTATGTATGAACATAGGAGTGTATACCCTTGCTACCCAAGGGTACTGAACGAACTGGAAGAACCTTTATGACTATATATGTACATACGATATATAACTAATATTTAAACAACCTTTGGACGGATACCTGATACTCACCAGACCACATCCAAATCGAGGAAAAGGAAATAAAGCGAATAGCCTTCCTAAGTCCTTTAAACATTTCTTATTTATCTATACATATATAGGCATGCAATTGATAATATAAAAGCATAA